CTATGTCTACTCCAATCTCTGTCCCCACCATTCCTTCCAGCAAGTGCCTAGGTCCACCTCCTATGGCACTGGCCTCTGGTGTCCGCTCGGGTTCTTCTTCTTTGACCCTGAAATGCAAAATGATCATTCGATCATGTCCTCAGTTGCTGGATTCTAAGTCTGATGACAGAGATCTGCCCGCTCGACCAAGGGCAGGATCCATGGAGGTCGATAGACCTCCTTCTAGTTTTCCTCCACCTTAAATACAAATGGCTACTTTGACACAATGGAACTGTCGAGGTTTTCGTTGTAATCTCGATGAAATTAAGGCCTTGATCGATTCCTATCATCCCGTGTGCATCTCCTTACAGGAAACATTTGTGAAACCTGCCAATACAGCAGTTTTCTTTGTACCAGAATGACAGGTTGTGTAATAAATGAGTGCATGGAGGGGTGGCATTGCTAGTCGACCAGCATGTGCCCTCCTTATCTGTGTCACTCGATACACCCTTGGAGGCTGTAGCCATCCGTGTTTCCTTGGGTTTTACCATCACTGTTTGTTCTCTCTCTTCCTGTCTCCTGGAGAGACTTATGATCAATCAGACCTTGGTGCTCTTGTTAACCAGTTACCATCTCCCTTTTTAATCCTGGAAGACTTTAATGGACACAACCCCTTCTGGGGTGGTGCTAATATTGATGGGAGGGGTCATTCCGTAGAGCATATGTTCTCGGATTACAACCTTTTTCTCTTCAATACTGGATCTTATTTTAATGCACCTTGTCAGTCTTTCATTGCCATAGATATCTCAATCTGCTCCCCTTCACTTTTCTTTGATGGTTGACAGTAACCCATGGGGCAATGGTCATTTTCCTCTCATTTTGAGGGAGGTTGGCTGTAGTTGATGCCATCTAATCTGAGTGCCACAATGGAAGTTGGACTAGGCTGACTGGCTCTCTTTCATCAGTCTCTCCGAACTTGATCCTGCCATTTTCTGTCTACCATCAATAGACGATTGTGTGACAGCAGTGACTGACTGTTTTGTTCAGGCAGCTGCTCACTTTATTCCTAATACCTCGACATGTTTTCCATGGTATCCTTTCATGGTGGAGTCCTGCCTGCCAGGAGGCACAGAAGGCTCAAAAACGGGTCTGGGATACCTTCTGACAGTATCCCTCTCTTTCTAACCGCATAGTTTATCTGCAGGTCAGTGCCCACACACACGGAAAGTTTGACGTCAAAGCCAAAAGGAGTCTTGGATTAAGTTCGCTACTAGCATATCTTCTATTACCAGTTCCAAAAACATATGGAACAAGATTTGGAAAGTCACTGGGAAATATGCTTCCCTTCCCCTCTCCATCTTGCTCTCCAATGGCCAGGAAGTTGCTGATGCTCTTTTGCATCTAGCACTTCTGTTTCTTCCCCTGCCTTCTTGGCCATCAAGTCTTGGGCAGAGCAATCACCTCTTTCCTTTTGGGCCTATCATCTCTATGACTGTAATCGCCCCCTTACACTGGTGGAACTCCAACTTGCTCTTCATCAGTCTGGTAGTACATTGGTCAGACCTGACAATGTTCATTATGAGATGCTGTGCCATCTCTCTCCTGTCGCTTGCTATTCTTCTGGTTATTTTTAACTGGATCTGGCAGAAGCATGTTTTTCCTGATGTTTGGCACCAGGCTATTGTCCTCTCTTTTTCTAAACCTGGGAAGGATCCCAAGATTCCTTCTAATTATTGACCCATCGCTTTGACTAGCTGCCTTTGTAAGGTCTTGAAGCACATCTTGGTTGGTTCATTGAATCAAACACACTCCTCTTGCCCACCCAGTATGGGTTCCATCGACAGCGCTCCACCAAGGACCATCTGAGTTGATTTGAAACGTCGATCAGGGAAGCCTTCCTCAAGAGAGAACATCTTGTTTTTCTTTTCTTTGATCTTGAGAAGGTTTATGACACTGCGTGGAGGTATGGCATTTTGCAGGATCTCCACTCCTATGGGTTGTTTGGTCATTTACCCATTTTTATTCAGAAATGTTACTGGACAGGCAATTCCAAGTCCATGTGTGTTTGACTCTTTTCCGTTCCTTTCCACAGGAAGTTGGAGTCCCTCACACCTTCCTTCAACTGTTGCAAATGGGCTCTCATATCAGTTGTTGAACATGAGGTTTATTGAGCGGCAGCTTCAGACTGCCCTCAATCGCTTGTTGATGTGGACCACTGCAAACGGTTTTACATTTTCTTTTTCCAAAACAGTTTGCCTGCATTTTAGCCACCAACAGGGTCTCCACCCAGATCCTGAGCTCTGTCTCAGCAATGTTGTTATTTGTGTGGTCTCTGAGGCAAAGTTTTTGGGGCTTATATTTGACTGTAAGCTTGCCTTCATTTCATACATCAAGCAGCTACATGTCAAGTGCTGGAACCCATTCACCATCTGGGGCTTTTCGCACTTCTCCAGTCCACAGTTTGTATACTGAGTCCCACAAACCTGCTCTTCACCTCCTTCATTTGCAACTTTCTCTACAATATGCTACCAAGCTTTGATCCTTACCACAGCATTCCACCTGGGATTGTGTCTGTCTCCCGTGGTGAGCCATGCTCTTTAAGAACATATTGACTGCAATCTCCTATTGGCCTTCGTATCTGGGTACAGCTGGCTGAATTGGGTCTGGCATTGGATGACATTGCTGTCCCCAATGATTAGCCCATTCTGCCAGGGCTTATTACCATCTCTGCCTTGAGTCATCTGAGGAAGGCGGATACTCCGATTGGAAGTACCATCTTTTTTCTGAACATCTTTAGAGCCACTCTTCTCTTTCTATTTACACAGATGGGTTGAAATCAGGTGACTTTGTAGGCTCTGCCATGGTAGTTGCTCACAGGATCCCTTCTACAGTTTCTCTGTTCACTGCCAAGTTGTATGCTATTTCTCTTGCCCTGGATCATGTAGAAGCTATGCAGTACAGCAGTTGTACTATTTATGCTGATTCTCTTAGCTCTCTACTGGCCCTGGAATCGCTTAACATTAGTTCTCACCTTGTTATCGTCGATATTCAACAATGACTGACCCATTTTTCTCTATCTTCCATTTTTATCCAGTTTTTCTGGATACCTGACCACATCGGTATTTACGAGAATGAGCTCACTGACACCGCAGCTAAGTCAGTCTGCTTTGGGGCTGTGTCCCATACATGGAGTACGGTCCTGTCTTCAAGTTGTGGCTTAGCACCAGTTGGCAGTCGACTTGGGGTGAGCAACGTCATAACAAGCTTTTCCAGATCAAACCATCTGTTGCTCTTTGGCTGTCTTGCTGCCATAAAGATCGGAAGGAGGAAGTTGTCCTGGCAAGGCTATGCTTTGGTCACAGTTTTTTAACTCATCATTTTCTTTTATCTGGTATTGACCCAACAATGTGTAGTCTTTGTGACACTTAAGTCACAATAGCCCACATTTTACTGTCATTATGACAATGAGCAGCAGCACCATTTTAGACACATGTTTAGTAAGGGTTTACCCCCTGACGTTGGGCAGTGTCATTGGTGATGGTGAAACTGCCCAACTTGATTGTATTTTCAATTTTTTAAGAACAATTGGTCTTTTTAATTTTATTTAATTATTTTATCTGTTCTTTAGACATATTTTTGTTTTAACTCACTACAGTTTACTTTTACTGTTTTTACCAGTTGTTTGGTGCAGATAGCCTAGTTGCTTTGTGTCATAAAACACCAAACAAACAAACAACCAGTTCATACTTTGTTAATGAACTTAGCTTAGTCTCTTAGATCATTACTGTAGTTAGCTGGCATAGTTTCATGATTAATTACTTTATTCAGCTAATTTGGTCTTGTATGTCTTTACTGTATTCAGAAAGCTTAATCTCATAGTTTGTTACTGTTCTCTGCTTTATCTTGGTCTTGTAGTGTGTGACTAGTAAATTATTTTGTGCTTATAGTTTATGGTTGTAGTAAGTTATCTTGCTTTTTTGGTTTGTGAATGAAAGAAGTTACTTTGTTGTTTTAGTTCATCACCATAGTCAGCAAGCTTTATTTTGTAGTTTGTTGGTATAATCACTTTCATCATGCAGTTTCTTATTGCATTCATCTATTTTTATCTTGCAGTTCATCACCACAAAGTATAACTACTGTATTCAATATTTTTCTCATTAAACTATGCAGAATTGTTTAGTGTGAGAAGTGATCATCATACACACTGACAAACAGCTATGTAATATAGCTATGTAAAACAGTGCACTTCCATTTTTTTGTAACAAAGAAAAGCTTTTAAAAAAGTAACAAGTAAGCATATTTTAATTTTTATAAAATAATCCATGGATGTTGATACCAAATAGTATAAATAATGTAGAGTTGCTCCACATTTTCTTGTTCAGTTATGTTTATAAAGCTTTCTAATAGAGCTCAAATCATAAACATCATTAGCTATCTCAAAGTGTAAAGGACATCCTGGTGTACAGAAATCAAAGACAAAGTAATCTTTAGGAGATGTTTTGGTGGAAGAGAGAAAATATTTTAACTAAAACAATTGATTACAAGTTTGTAGTGGCCAATAGCTGTATTAAAGGTCATCAGACTTAGATCTTCAAGGCCTTAAATTTCAGTCTTTTAGGATACAAGATGTTTAAAATTATGTAAAAAATTACTATATTCTATAAGTTAAATGTCTGACTTAAAGTAAAATTTGGTTTTAAGAATGAATTGGGTAGATTGGTAAAAAAATTATATAATTCACCAAAAAACCTTTTTAAAACCTACTGTATAAGAAGACAAGTGCCATTATGCCCTCTTCTATCACTGTTGAACTGGTTCAACAGTCACTTAAGGCATTTAAATCTGAAATTAATTGTAATGCTGCTCTAAACACTTGTGTATTTTATTTCATGAAGTATAAATGAACTTTACTTTGGAGATCATTCAGGAAATAAACATAGGCTCCCCAAACACAAATCATTTCATGATCTACCATAATTTTTTTTTGTCTCCATACTTATAAACTTGTGTTTGTACTGCAGAACCTGACAACACCTTACACCTACCCATATCAACAGATGAGCTACTGGTACCCTCAAGGCTACCCTCCAGTGCAGGGACAGTTTGTGCAGGGAATGAATTACCCATATGGCCAATACTATGGGCAAGGATTTGGGTAAGTCTAATACATTCCAATGAACCATTTTCATTACACAGTCCAGTGCGGATATTATTCAGTGTTGGAAGATTTTGATTGGATCAAAATAACCTTACCAAACTGTCATATGCTCATAGGAAGTTGATGGTTGTTTTTATAAATCCACAATGGGCTACCTGCTGTATCCACCATGGGGAATCAAACCTCAGATTTTAAATAGCATTTTAAGTCCATCAACTTAAAGCTGACTTACCGATATACACTCATAGGAAGTAACCCTTGTATTCTTCTTATGCACTTGCTAGAATTTTATAATACAAAATGATTTGGTTGAACAGATGTACATCATATGGTTTAAGGTGTCTTGAAATTAAACCACTCATTACCAGATTCATCCACTGTGATGCAGAATTTACTGAGTTCTAGCTTTAAACTAAAAATAATTGATAAAATCAAAGTTTGATTCATTTCTATGAGAGTAAGTTCTTATTTTAGAAAGTAACATTTTATTTGTATTTAAAAGTGTCAAATTTAATAACCTGCAAGTTCATCTATATATATAAAGCAAAAAAATATGTCTGTCCCTTATCTAACTATTCCTAGGTCACTAGGCCAATCTCAATCTAACTTTGTGGGATGATAATTTGGAACAAAGGGCATGTTAATGGGGGGTTCATAACCCCCTCCAACCCCCCATTATTTTCGTTATTGAGCATTTATTATCTTTGATGTAAGTTATTGTTAACTATATTCATAGATGGCACTATATCCTCACAAAAAAGATTTTCTATAAAACAATGTACACACATTGTGGGGGAGGGCACACAAATATCTTATATATCTCATAGATAGGAATGGCTGCCACTATTGGAATAATACATAAACTCAGGTGAAGTTTCTACTCCTACAGCCACCATAAGGCTGATATGAAGAGCAATTTCATGGGTTATACCCACTTCCTACTTTGACCAGTGTCATTTCATCTTCAGCCTGTAAGATAATTCTGTGGCCATCAATTAATTAATCACATAAAACACTGAGGAAGGACATAAGAGTTGAGTGTTGAAAGCACCCCTACTGCCACTACTTTGGCTGCTATGTCTTAATACAAAGTCACCCTGACCATCGCACAGTGTATACCATGTTTTAGGTATATACATCTTTAGTTATTGAACCTTATATAAAACTTTTGGTTAGGTAGTAATGAATACTGTAATAATATGTTATAAATAAATTGTGTGAAAGTTAGGATGTTTGTGTTATTTATCATAGCATACAACCAGGACAATGGACAGGTACAGCAGCCTGTCTCATATTAAAAAAATGTCGAAGAAATGTCTACTTCAGTGTTGTGTGTACCATATCTAATACTCTTTTTTTTTCTTTTTTTTTGTTCTGCAGTTTAGGAATGCAGATGGCTTGGCAGGGAATTCCAGGACAACCTCAGATGGCTGCAGCAGCTGCTCAGGGTCCCATGGGACAGGGCCTTCACCAGCCCAATGTTATTGGTGCCTACCCTATGCAACAGTACCAGGCACAGTAAGAGAGAGAGAGAGGTGCCTCTTCTTGTCTTGCTCACAATGTGAGGACTAACGAATGTTGGGGAGAGGTGTCTAGATGTCTAGTCTCCAGTCCTCATCTGAAACAAGAAAGTCCTTGGTCATCTATACACCTCTCTTTCTTACACCATGAGTAGAAACAACTAGAAGTCTTCTCATTAAATATGAAAAACATAAAAAACAAATCAAGTTTTAAGTGATGCTAGACAATAGGTGCCCTGCCTTAATATCTACTACTATTGTTTCTGTTTATTTGTTTTCTCACATGTGAATTAAGCACATGATTGTAAACTGAAAAGTTACTGACAGTGTTAAGAGTTGCTGGCATTCCAATCAGTTTGTCCTTTAGACTTTATGTTTTTGAGACTGTGAAAATAAAATACTGTTCATTATTGTAAGGTAGTTGCTGTACTCAGTAACCATTGTTTTGTATTGCTTCAAAGGCTACCACTTCTGAAAGATATACAAATATTTTTGGAAAAAAGAAGTTATGTTGACTTGGTTTGATGGTGCCCTCCCTGCCATTAAAAAAGAGAAGCTTCATATTTTCATACTCTTATCTTGTGTGTTATTTCTAATTCGTTTTCAAAATTTAAAGAGAGCCAGTCATACCTGCCCTGAAAATGGGCAACACATTTTAAAGATGTATCTAAACTATTTCATATGCACAATGTACAAAGTTTTTGCTCTTTGTGCAGAGCCATTTTTGGAAAAGCTGAAGGAGGAAGAAGAACACTAGATGTTAGTGATGTAGTGACTAGTAAACTTAGCTGTGCTTAGTTGTAGTTGTAGATTCTATATTATGTACAGATACCTATTCAGTCAACATTAAAACACTTCCTTTGTCCTTATATATATATATATATATATATATATATATGTGTGTGTGTGTGTGTGTAGTATACACACGTACGACTAATAGTACTACCTACGACGTCTTCTACGAACGAAGTAAGGTTTAGGTTAAGTAAAAGTAAAAGAAACGAAACCG